TTCTCCGCTATGCCTCTCATTCTGGTGTCACAATTCCTTGGCGTCGGCGCGCTTCGTGAGGCAAGCTCAGGGGCAGCAGGTTTGTTATGCGGGAAAAAAGAAAGGGACTGTGAACATAGGATGAGAAGCTGGAGGAGGCGGATGACCAGGCGGACAGGAGGAGCAGGATCATCAGGGAAAGGCGGAGGAGGGGAAAGGATGGGGGACTGCAACGCTGAAGACCCTGGACCCAGAAGTGTGGCCCGCGAGGGGGCGAGCGGGAGTGCCAGTCCGAACGATATTCGGATATTCGCCACGCGCCGATCCAGAAACGAGGATAGCGCTGCAGCGAGAATTTCATTCGGAAGGACCTGCGATTTCTCGATTGGACAGTACTGATGCTTGATCGTAGTGGATCCCGGTGAGTATGTATGTGTGCGCATGTAAAGACATATGCGCGGACAGAGGCGGCGACACGGCTTGGCTTGATCAGGGGAGATAGGGACCTATTATCCACGTTGCGCTTGCCGAGGAGGGGAAGGGCACGGAAGATGAGCAGGTTATCCAACTTAGTGTTGCATTCTATCAACCGTACATGTCTGACAATGCGAGGAAGTTGCCTGCAACCTGGTAGACCACGTGCTCTCCATATTTCAAATATGCCGTGCTCACATTCAAAGGTTATGAAGGCAGCGGGAACCAGGCTCTCCACACAAATGCCGAGCAAGAGAACCCGACCAGGCCCTTTCTCTGAGCAGCAGGCAATGACCCTTGCGACAATTGTCCAACCAAGCATTCACAAAGAAGCTTGAAACTCATATCTGCGCAGAGTAGCGAACACGAAGCTGTAGCCCAAAAGGCCACAACATAATACCACATCGGAGCTGCAATTTGCATGCATCGATGTCGAATGACCTTCGGCCCATGCCGCCACCGTGCCTGGGTTGTAGGCCTGAGGCCTCTTGGAGGTTCGTTGGGATCCCGTCGTGGCCTCTCGTGTGCCTCCGGGAGGCAGGCCTCTGCGAGGCTGTGTTCGGGCCTCTTGAGGCCTCGTTTGGGCTTCTTGGGGGGGGCTCTTACGACCTCGATGGGGGTCCTCGTGGGGCTTCTTGGGGGCCTCTTGGGCCTCGTGGCTGCCGCTTGGGGCGGAAGGCTCAGATTTTCGGTTCGTGTTCCCCCTCTTGGGGCCGTCTTGGGACCGTCTTGGGGGCCCCGTCTGGGGGACGCCTTGTGGGCCGTCTTGGGGGCCGTTTTGGGGGGCCCCTTGGGACGTTTTGGAGCGTTGCAAGCTCGAAACGTGAAGAACCCAACTAACATTGAAAACCATGAAGCACAACGCTGATTTGGGCCTCTCGGGGCCCTCGTGGGAATGCTCTTGAGGCTCTCTTGGGGCGCCTCGAAGGCTTCTCGGGCCGTCTTGGGGCCATCTCGGGTGCACCTCGGACCGATCGTGCGGGGGCCCTCTTAGTCCGTCTTGGGGCCCCCTTGCCCCGAAAAAAATCATGCGGGAGCACTCGGGCGAGCCCCAAAGGCACGCGCTGAGCCCCACGAGATGTGTGAATGTGTGGCCTGGGCCCTGGGGCTGAAGGGACCAGGCTGAAGGAAAAGGGCTGTGCGCCACTGGCGCGCCGGCAGAGGCAAGGCCACCAGCACGCCTACCCCTTTGAAGCCTTTACCCGAAGGCACTCCAACTCGTGCCTCGGGGCACGGTGGCAGACGTGATGGGTATTGCTTCCCGCACCTCTCAGTCTACCAGCTCGTCCATCCAGGCGAACGTAAGACGGGTCGCGGAGGCGACTGGCTTGGTGGCCCCATCGCCTGGTTCAGCGCAGCGAGGACCCTTGGCGAGAGCAGGATTGCGCCCGACCGCCAGCAGTTCCGTCCGCATGGACAGAGGAAGCGCCCGCAGCACAGCGCATGGCACCCGATGGAACGCACCTGGCCGCGGAAAACCTTGGCGGGCAGCAGGGAGCACGCCGAGCAGATGCTTCGCGCCTTCTCCTCGGACCCCTCCCTCGCGACAGCCATGGCCCATTTTTTCTGGGGGGCGCCCTCCAGCGCCTCGAACTCGAGGCTGAACCCTCGCTGCCGCCGACGCGGCGTTCACTTCAGTCGGCGGCCACACGGGAGGCCCACCCCTGCCCCCCCCGATTTCTCGGGGGGTGAGGGGGGCTTCACTTCGTTCGGGAGCTCCCGAGCGGAGTGAACCCTTACCCCCCCTTAGACACCGTGCGGGGGGTAGGGAATAAGGCTCTGGGGAAGCGAACAAGTACCGATACCGCTGCTCCCCGGACCTCTCCTGGGGTGCCTTCTGGCCAGGATTCCGAGGCGAATCCAGCGGTGGCGGCGAGGGCCTCCCAGGAGGCCCGACAGGGGAAAAAACGACGGAAAGGGTAGAGGCATGCAGTGGGTACTATTTCCTCCTCTGAGGTGCGCGTGCGGCCACCTCTCCAGGCCATTCCCCGCACAAAGGGGCCCTGCCTGGTCGCGGGCCTCCGCCTGCGGGGGCGGAGCGGCACGCCCCTGCCTCGGCGGGCGGGGGGGGGGGGCGCCGGCGGCTCGGGGTGGACGAGTAGGCCTCCAGAGGGATCGGGCGTGGCTGGAGAGGGAGCTCGTCCATGTGCGGGTCTTTCGGGAGAGAAAGAGAGAGAGAGAGAGAGAGAGAGAGAGAGAGAGAGAGAGAGGGAGGCGACGGCGAGCGAGGGGAGGAAACGAGCAGGAGAAGGCCTTCGCAGAAGGCGGCGGGACTGCTCACAAGCCCTCGCGCCTTCTGAGAGGCTTCCCGTGTCTTTAGGAAGGGCAGAGAAAACTTCTCAGAAGTCCGGGGGACTTCTGAGCCTTCCGAGGAGTCCCGCCTTCACTTCCTCCAGGCTCGCCGCCGAGAGAGAGACAGAGAGAGACAAGAGAGAGAGTCTGAATGACTCGCTGCCGATGGTGACGCGTCAGCGTGTTGTTTGCACGAGGGCCTGGCGTTTCTTCCGCAGCGGCCCGCGGATGGCATCCTCACGACGGCGAGTCGTGGATGTTGCTTCTGCCTTCCGAGGCGTGTGTGTCCGCCGTCGGCGCCGTACGTCGCGCCACCTCCCCCGGCACGAGTCCGCGCGCAGGGCGTGGGTCCGAGCAGCCCCCAGCCGCGTGGGGCGCTGGAGCCGCGCATGGGGCGCCTCCGGGGCCCTGGCCCGGGCACGCGCACGGCCGGAGGCCGCGGCGCTCCGCAGCCGACGGCCGCGGTGCGCCTCGGCGGTGCCACGGCCAGGCCAGGGAGAGGAGCCGAGACAGGGACCGGCAGCGCGGGTTCGCGAGTCCCGGGCACTCTCTCCAGGCTGGCGCTGGGAAGGACGAGGAGGAGGAGGACGGGAAGGACGTGGATGGGGAGGAAGGGAGGGGGGCAAAGATCTTCCCATCCCTCCTCTGGGTGGCCAGAGGGGGATGGGGAGAGCAGAAAGGGAGGATGAGAGGAAGAGGATACGAGGAAGGAGGGGAGCACGAGGAGAAGGATGATGATGAGGATGAGGATGGGATGATGAAGAGGGTGATCATGAAGATGGTGATGATGATGATGCTGATGATGTTGATGCTGATGATGATGCTGGTGATGGCGACAATGCTGATGATGATGGTGGTGGTGATGATGCTGATGCTGATGCTGATGCTGATGCTGATGCTGATGCTGATGCTGATGCTGATGCTGATGATGACGATACTGACCATGATAATGATGAGGATGATGATGACGATGGTGATGATGATGATGATGATGATGAGGAGGAGGAGGAGGAGGAGGAGGACCAGTTCAAACCCAACAGTTTGAATGATGTTGCAATCAACCCTCCCTTCAAGTTCCCTCTGCATAGATCCCTACAAGGACCCATTCGCACTGAGGGGAGTGCCCGTTGAAAGACAGCCGTCTGAAAATCCTGAAACGTTCCAAAACAAAAGCCCTGGGACTTCATCGCTGCGAATCAACGCCACGGTGTGTCCTGACAATCCTGAATGGTGCTAGAACACCACTGCGTTCTGACAGTCCTACATCGTGCCAACACCTTTCCTGAGACGTCAGCCGTAGGAATCCTTGACGATTATGTGCACGAGTGTGCGGGGCGCTAAGGCGAGAACCACATGTTGAAGACGACCCGCCGTTCTTCCGTGAAGCTGTTCAACACGTTAGACGAATATGAGTCGAAAACGACATTTTGAAATCCAACCGCAATCCATCCGTGAAGCAGTTGCAAACTGTAAGCCCATGGGCCATAAACGGTGAGGGAGTCTCGGGCGAACTGTCTGACCCGCCCTACGGACGCGTCTCGAGGTGCGACAGGGAGGAGCTATGTATAAGAAAAAGGAAGGAGGAGAAGAAGAAAGAGGGTGGACAGGATGGGGAAGAAATAAGGAAAACAAGGTGGAGGAGGAGGTAGAGGGGGAGGAGGGGGAGGAGGAGGAGGAGGAGGAGGAGGAGGAGGAGGAGGAGGAGAGAGGAGGAGGAGGACGACAGCGATTCGGCGCGAAATCCACGTGGCGGCTCCCTCCTCGCCCGTTCTGCCGCGCCCCAGGGCGGCCCGGACATGCGGGAGCTGCTGAAGAACATGCCCGGGGAGCTGCAGGAGGCCCGTTGGGGGCCGGAAAGGGCGGGCCGTTTCAACCGGAGGGGTGGGAGCAGGAGCAGGGCCCTCCTCGCCATGTCTCCGCCTTTTCAATGTTTCTCCTCCTCCTCCTCCCTTCCTCCTCCTCTCCTTCTCCTTATTTTCCTCCTCCTCTCCTGCTCCTCCTCCTCCTCCTCCTCCTCCTCCTCCTCCTCCTCCTCCTCCCCCTCACCCTCCCCCTCTGCTCCTCCTCCTCCTCCTCCTCCTCCCGTCCGCCTACTCTCCTCCTCCTCCTTTTCCTCCTCCTCCTCCTCTCTCCTCCTCCCTCCTCCTCCTTCCTCGCCTCCTCCTCCTCCTCCTCCTCCCCCCCTCCTCCTCCTCCTCCTCCTCGTCTCCCCTCCTCCTCCTCGTCCTCCTCCTCCCCCTTCTCTCCTCCTCCTCCTCCTCCGTCCCTCGTCCTCGTCCTCCTCGTCCTCGTCCTCCTCTCCCCCCCTCCTCCCTTTCAAAGTTCCTCGTTCTCTTCCTCCTCCTTCTCCTCTTCCTCTTTCCTCCTCCTCCTCCTCCTCCTTCTCCTCCCTCCTCCCCCTCCTTCCCCCTCCTCCTCCTCCTCCTCCTCCTCCTCCTCCTCCTCCTACTCCTCCTGCTCCTCCTCCTCCTCCTCCTCCTCCTCCTCCTCCTGCAGTTTCTTTACTCAGGCCCCAGGGGGCCGCTCCAGGCAGGCCTCTGCGAGGGCAGGGCCCGCATCCAGATCTCTGCAGAGGCACTCCACATACGGGCTGCCGTTCGGACTCGCCTCCAAAGTGCTTAAGCATAACCTGAGCCTCCTCCTCCTCCACATCGCGCTCGGAATTCGTTGTGCCGATCGACTGCCGATCGATTACACCCGCGCCCCTGCGAAGGCTGAGATTGGGTGGGTCCGTGCCTGACCTGTGGTAAACCCGTCACTTCAAATCGCGCGAAACGGTTTCGACCGTGTGAGGTTTAGTTTTGAGCCGGGCTGCAGCTCGGTGATCAGCAGGTCTACCCTGAAGCCACACGCAATTCTGAGTCTTCGTCGCCCTCTTCGTCTTCTTCTTCTTCTTCGTCCTCCTCCTCCTCCTTATGTGCCTTCGAAGGGAAGGGTCCTGACGCTGGACGGGAGGAGGAAGAGGAGGAGGAGGAGGAGGAGGAGGAGGAGGAGGAGGAGGAGGAGAGGGATGACGAGGAGGAGGAGGAGGAGGAGGAGGAGGAGAAGGAGGGCAGGAGTAGTTGTAGGCGGACGAGGAGGAGGTCGGGTGGAGGACGGGGAGGAGGATATGGAGGACGAGGAGGTGGAGTGGAGGGAGGAGGGGTAGGAGGAGGACGGGGAGGGCGAGGCGGACTGGGTGAGGTATGGGATGTGATGGCAGAGAAGAGGCAGGGGGCAGGAGCAGGAACAAGAGCAGGAGAGCAAGGAGCAGCAGCAGAGGATCGTCCTATTTGCTGGGGGGAATCGTCCTCCTCGCAGCCGCCGATTTCGATCTCCTGGCGCTGGGGTGCGCGCCCACCACGACCGATTCCCCGGGACGCTTGCCTCATGCCATTCACGTGGATGGCGTGCCGCATGTCGGTCTTGTCTTCTAGCAGGAGTAGAAGAGGGAGACGCGAGGGACGGACGGACAACGTAAGGGTTTGGGAAGGGTTCCCTGCCGGGCGGAGACCGCGTGCAGAGCTGGAGGAGCAGGCAAGCAGGGGAGGGGGGATGGATGCGCGCAACGGTTTCGCTCGCTTGCACACGGCGAGTTCGGGCCGTGCGTTGGGTGTGAGCCCGGAGAGGCCTTCGGTGGCCCTCCGAGCCTGCGCCGGAGCACGACGGCCGATGCCGCCACGGCGACCCCATCTCTCGAAGAGGCGGACTTCCAACAGTTTTATGGGTCATTGTTTTCTTGTTCGAAGCACCCCCGTTGCCGCACCTGCCTCCTTCATCCTTCCTCCTTCACCTCCTCCCACTTCCTCCTCCTCCGCGTCGCCACGGTGGTTGGTCGCGGCTTGTTGGATGGTCCCGTCGTTGAGCAGGGTACTTTTTGGGGGGGGGGCTTTGGATTTCCTGCCAGGCCTATGCGGATCGAGGCTGCAGGCAAAAAATGGGCACTCAAACAGAACGAGAAGGAGCTGCCAACCATTCTTTGGAACTTACCAATGCAGAGTATGGTGCTTTTGACGCCTTCACTCCCTCTCGTGTGTTCTGTCTGGCCTGTCGGGACGTAGGCTTACCGGCTAATGATGATCAGTAAGGAGTCCGGCGACAAGGCTGCAGAGGCGGGAGTTTCATGCTTCTCTCCAGCGCGCCTGTTGTGCGAAGAGTGCGCTTCATTGTCTACATTGTGTATTTGTCAGCATCTCTGGGTGATTTTCTCGGCATGCTGAACAAACGCCTAGCTAACCTCTTCCGTGTCGTTCGCGTTTTTGCTGTTCAGTGATGTATCCTGCTCGCGGCCAGATTTCGAGGCTGGCTCTCGTTGGTCGTGTTGTTGACTATCGTTCCCACCACATCGCAGTGCCATGCCCGCAGCGCGCCGAGAGGGCGCAGCGCGATCATGGCGTGATGCCCACTAACATTCGGCATGACGTCTCTCCTGTGCGATTGCGAACTGTGCCTGCACAAGAAGCCATTTCTCGAAAATCGCAGCAGCGAGCTTGAGGCTCGCATGCAGCACTCTGATCTAAGGTGAGCGTTGTATTTGGAAGGGCAGAGGTCCCCTTCACCCACTTTCCCGTGTTCTGGATGGAATGGGCACTTTCTCCCGTACGACTCCCTTCGCCTCTTTCTCCTCTGACCCTCTTGACGTGCCCGATACAAGGCATCCTCCTCCTCCCTCTCCCGCGCCTTCGCCCGCGCACGCGGGGGGGAGGGGGGGGGGGGTGCGCAGGAAGAAGAGGCAGCGCGACGACCGATTGCACCCCCGATGCAGCAGCACACCTTCCTGTCCCAAGCCCCCTCCTCACTAGTCCACACAACGAGTTCCTTTTCACCAGGGATGCGCGCTTTTGAAACACCAGCGCCCCGTGGAGTTGTCTATCAGGCGCGATTCCTTTTTTGGGAAGGAATGCCGCTGCATTCTCGGACCTACTCGAAATATGTTGAGAACCGACAAGAACGTGCAAGGCAGTGCCCACCGTGCTCCATTGTTTGAAAACGACTCCTCCTTCAATGGGTGTATGTTTCTGTTGCGCAAATCTTGCACGGTTGGTAGTTCAGCTTTGGACATAGTCAAGCGAGAGCCCCATTCGCTCAATCACGGTTGCCATTCGTCCATGTATGCCTACAGCATGTAGTATTGACCGATATTTGTGTTTCCAAAATGGCCCCCTTTCTTCGTAGCGGCGGCACATGTTATGATTGCGTGTGTTTACGGTTAGTGTTCGGCTAAGTCCTGCACGGGATCCATCTGACACGAAGGTGTGGCTCTGGGGCGAGGGCAGCATTCTGAGAACTACCTGCCCTCAAGAGCTCCAGCTGTTGCACATGGCTAGGGCACTTGGGGACAGGTAGTGCCCCAACACGTTGGAAGCGTGCTAGGCGAGTAGGCGCGACGCTCAAGGCAGACCATGTGTGCTGCCGAAGGGGCGAGACCACATCTTGGAAACGGTTTGCCCTCCATCGGTGCATCTGCAGAGTATCTAAGCCTCAGGCTTCTAAGCGCTGGGGAAGTCTCATGCGAAACGCCCAGCCCGCCTTACCAACATGTTTAGTGGTGTGACGGGAGGCGTTTTTCATGAGAGGTAGGGATGGACTTGGGATGATGGAGAATGTGAGTTGGGGATGAGGGCCAGGAGGAGAGTCTCATCATTGTCCTATTCTCTTTCCGTCTCTAGACACCCGATGGGCCGATCCTTTCGCGACATTGCTCCCTGGAGCTCAGGATACAGTCCGACGTTTTTTTGTATCACGGATTGTTTTCGACGGCCCGAGAGTCCCAAGGTGGAGAATGATTGCGTTGGAGTTGCCGGCTGTCCAGATTCCCCTCCTCCGTAATCAAGCGCGTTGCCGTCTCTCCACTGCATGGCCTGCCCTCCTCTCACTCGGTGTGCCCTTGCCAGGCTTCTCTCGGCTCACATCTCTCTGTGTGTTGTAGCCGTGTTCGTGATCCAGTGCGTGCTCGCTCTGCTCTGCGTCCCTGCGCCCCCTGCCAGATGAGGGGGAGCACAGGAGCGCGCCAACGAGCTGGCGCTGATGGCCATCAGGAGAGGCAGCCCCGAGGTCGCCGCCGCGGGGGGGGGTGGCGCGGGCTCTCCGGCGCCGCCGTCTTCTGCGGAGGTGAGGCGTCGCTTCATGGGGGGGGGCGATACATGGGGGGGGGGGGGGGCAGCGAGGGCTGCAGAGAAGGTGCCTTTCAGGGTCCCTCGAGTCGAGGGGCCCCTTGGGGCCCAGAAGGGGGCATGCGGGGCCCGAGAAGTGCCCCCCTCCACCCCCCCATTTGTCGCCCCCCACTAACTCACGCCCAAGGAGGAGGAGGAGGAGGAGGAGGAGGAGGAGGAGGAGGAGGAGGAGGAGGAGGAAGAGGAGGTGCGAGGGAGGACGAGGAGGAGGTGCGAGGGAGGATGAGGCGGCAGCCCTCAGGAGCCGACCCCCACGCGTCTCGGCAGCCGACGGGGCTTCGGAGAGGCCCCCTCGCCTTCGCAGAAGCCCCCCTACGCTCGTCCAGGGCCACCCCCTCGCGCCAACTCCTCGCGCTGGCGAGAAAGGAAGAGGAGGAAAGATGAGAGGGGAGCGCGGTGGAGGAGATGGAGGAGGCATCGGCCGGGAGAAGGGACGAGGGGGGCATGACGGATGAGGACCGGGGCCGGGCGGGAGGGAGAAAGGCGAGCAGGAAGCTGGGGGAGGGGGGGAGGGTGTCTGGCGCCCAGGTGCAGCAGCAGTTTGTGCAGGAGTTGTCCAAGAAGGACCCCCACTCTGTCTCCTGATGCTTGCCTTCGGCTCAATCATAGCCTGCGCGATTCATGCACAACCTGCGTGTTTGGACCAGATACGTGTTCCCTGTACAGGTGTGTGTGTTTGTGTGTAAGCGTGTACCCTAATACGAAAAGAAGGGAAGCCTGAATTGAGACCAGGGTTTTTGTCGGGGCCCTTGGCCAAGCACCAGGCCCGAGGACAGTTTGCCGTTTCGTGATGCGCAACTAGTCGCCCTCTCACGCTGTTCTAAGTCTGGATATGATTCGCCGAACGATGTTGGCTGGTGCATGTCTGACATAGCGACCCCCCAAGGTGGGACCAGAAAGCTTGACGGTACAATGTCAAACGGGTGGTCTTGTCCATGTTCAATCTCTCGTTTTTTCATTTGCTTCCTTGGTTCCGTGGCGCATCGATTTCAAAATAAAGCGTTTTTTTGTTCGGGCGTTCAGATCACCAGCCTGCGTCAGCGACGGCCAGACTCAGCGAGACCAGCCGGACCAGCTCGACCAGCAGCACGAGAAGCACAGCGGCGTCTTTGTTTGTGCGGCCGCGCCCCCGCCGAATTCGACTACACGTAAGAGTGACCTTTCGCCGGAGTGACCTGTGGTGCGGGTACAATGGGCCCCCCCGATCACCAATTGCGATGCGATAGTAGCGTCTTGCGCGCCTGAGTTTGGTCCCCCCGCGGCCCCCCAGAAGCCGCGCACCAAAGGTCACTCTTATCAGGGGCAACGACAGGGGGGGGATAGGCATAGGGGGGGATGCATCGACCCCCAATTGCCCATTGATCACCGATAGGGGCCCGATAGCCCCGACCTGCCCAGGAAGGTGCGGATTCACTATCGGGGGCCTCTCGCCGATCTATCGGCGATGTATCGCCGATTCCAGGTCGATGCATCCCCCCATATACCAGTCTCCCTCTATCGTTGCCCCTCACTCTTGCGTGTAGCGGACGAATTCAGGCTCCCTTTGTGTTTGGGCCTGCTCTGGCCGAGGCGGTGGCGCGGCTCGCGCGCGCCCGCGCGCGCTTTTCTGTAGGGCGGCGTTGGCTCCCCGGCGCTGCCCCGAGGCACGGCCTCCTTTGCCCAGCGGCTGTGATGGGCCTGCTTCCCATCACCACCACCATAAGTTGGAGGGGGAGGGGGTCCTCTTCCTCCTCCTCCTCCTCCTCCTCCTCTTCTTCCTCCTCTTCTTCGTCCTCCCGTCCAGAGTCATGACCCTTCGCTTCGAGGGCACATACGGAGGAGGAGGAAGAAGAAGAAGAAGACGAAGAGGAGGAGGAGGAGAAACAATAGGACGAGGAGGAGGAGGAGGAGGAGGAGGAGGAGGAGGAGGAGGAGG